GCATGGCTACATGTAAGGGTAACATAAATTAGATTTAACTGCATATACAGCATAGGCTTTGAGGAAGACAGCTGAAAATATGATATTTACAAGAAATTGGGAATCGTAACGGTTATGACTGACATGCAGGATATGTTTAATACCTTCTTGGGTTTGACAGAGCATCAACGATTGTTGGAAACGTGGGATAAATAATTAAAGTCCTATATGCTCAAATGACCCAACAAACAAGACGGCGATATATGAATGGCGACAGGTGCGGATTCAGGAAGTTTTTCCCAGGGATGAGGGGTCCACATCAAAAACATTTGTACGAGCAAAAAAGGAATAAACTTTCTCAATTTTAAAATGTGAGAGGACACTTTCATAAGTCTTTACTCTGTGGAGAATAACCCTTTGAGAGGTGGGGGGTGGGGGGGTGGGGGGCGTGGGTATGATCAGATATATATTTGGCAAGTACATATCCTGTCCATTTGTTCCTTTCGTTTTTATTACTTTAAATGATGTAACTTCTAACTCACTTCATAATATCACCGATATGTTTTTTTTTTCCAAAGCTCTACAAGGATTCCGACAAAAAAGAACAGACTTTATATAATTCATGCAGTTTTCATTCCCATTCAATAGACTAGTCAAGGAAAAGGGTGCAAAGCTTACACGTGACATTTTGGCGCGAAATGATTGAGTCATCCCTTACCTAGAAGACAGATGGACTAATCCAGTTGTATAGAAACGCAGAAAGAAAGACAAACGGACATGGCCTATCAGAACGTGCATGAAAAAACAGCTGCTATCAAAAAGCTAAAGAAAATAAATACATCAATTTATTGTATCAGCAATATGGTTATTTTTCTGCTAACTGTTGTTGCTGAAACACAAGTAACAAAATCCTATGATAATCAGCATGCACAAAATTTTGCTGGCTAACAGTGACCTCTGAGCTTCGCACATCGGAAATATTAATCCTTAGTAGAGTGTGACGCCGTGACGTTAGGCAATAAGCTTTATGTTATTGAAATGAATCATATTTTTGAATGCATTAAACCAATATTAAACTAATTATATCGAAAAAGAATAGGCCTTATATGGACACAACCTTTTGAAGATATCAAAACTTTAACGATATCAGCTTCACTATAAATTGTAATTTTTCTTAGACACACATGTAGCTGTTGTCCGTACTACATGCATTTTGAAAAGTGCTGGGAGCAAGCTGTATGTGTGCTGTTCCTTTGTTCTGCAATTTTACATAATTTAAATGCGAATAATTTTATTGTACAAAGTTTATCAAAAGGCGGCTATATTTTATATAAAATCCAGGCATAGGGAACTTGCTTCCAGCACTTTTAGGGTTAAGGATTTTGTCATCAGGAGAAAACAATCAATTTCATAGTGAACAATTATCTGAATATCGTTCATTACAATGAATATCTTTGTAGCCGTACATATTTTTTTTTATTTTACACATGTCAAGTCACAAACAGCTGATGTAAGTGAAGTCTCGTTTGCCTAATTCGGCAGAGACCAAATACAGACATTTGCCATAGAAGCATTATTGTTCCGCCTGACTAACAACTGTATATTGGAATGATACGATCTGATCTGTCTTTAGTGTTTCTTATATTATGAATGGGCAGGCATAAAGGATAGATAATTGAAAGAAAATGCACAATACTATAAAAAAAAATTAAATAGTCTTTGAAAGGCGAAAAATGAAAACTTGAAAAGTGTCATACCAGGTGGATTCGAACCACCGACATTAAAAAGAGAGTATGGATAGTGTAAGAGTCAGCACATATACTAACTGAGCTAGTCTGACCATAAAATTGTCTGGCATAAAATTTAATCACATTATCAAAATTAGGTTTCCTAATTTTTTGTTCGTTTTTTTTTTTTTTTTTTTTTTTTTTTTTGTGAATTTCGCCCCTGAAAAAAATCGTATCTTAAATAATCTTTACATCCCAACCAATCAAAATATCACAGTTTTTTTTCAGGGGCAGGCCTGCCCTGAAGGACTTTTAGGCCAAATGACATGCAAAAATCAACGCTGTAAAGGACAAAATGGTGTTTTGGCCAACTTTGGAGGTTTATTGTAAAGTTGTAGATAATAAAGATTAGGTATAAAGTACAAATTTGAAAAATTTAGACATATATACGGTAGAAAAAACAACCAATAAAGATTATTCTTTAAATGTCACTCTTTCCGGGAAATTGTTCTCTCCTATAAGTCAATTCTTTTGTCATAGTGAAAGAGAAATGTAAAGGACCAGGGGTAATTTAGCAAATATAGCATTATGTAAATGAGTACAAACTCACTAACATTTTTTTCTATAAATGTTCGTGGTTTAAATACTTATGGTAAAAGAATTTTGTTGTTTGAATGGATTAAGGATGCAAAATTTGATATAATTTTCTTGCAAGAAACACATTTTATTGAGGCAAATGAAGTAATTTATAATTCACGTTGGTATGGGTATAAAATTCATAGTTTTTCTGATTCGGTACATAGTAGAGGTGTATCTATTTTGTTAAAAGAAAATCTTGATATTGAAATACTATATAAACATTCTTCAATTGACGGTAGAAAATTATTGGTAAATGTTAAATTAGATGAACAAATTTTAATTTTGGCCAATTTTTATGTGCCAAATAAAGAAAATGACAAAATAATATTTTTAAATAAAATGTTAAAATGGCTCAATAAATATGCTAAAAGCTTAGATAACTGAATAGTTTGCGGAGATTTTAACTGTCAGAAAGATATCATTGAAAATAATAGAAATGTAAAGGTTCTTAGAAACTTTGTGAAATCATTAAATTTGATCGACTGTTGGTCCTTTAATGATAAAAATAACGAACAGGGGTTCACGTGGTGTGATGGGGAAAATAATCCAAAATCTAGAATTGACTACGTATTTATGTCAGAAAGTTTCTGCTATAGATTTAATCAAATTTTATTAAGAAAAGCTCCTAATTATGACGAGACAAGATTTAGTGACCATTTAGGTTTATACTTTGATATTTGTACCGCGGAAAATGTCAGAGGGAGTGGTTATTGGAAAATGAATACATCACTTCTCAACAAAGAAAAAATTTGCAATGAAATGAGAAACTTTATTAAACAAGAAATATCTAGAATTCATGATCCTGATCCGGTTTCTAAATGGGAATGCTTGAAAACATCAATTACAAAATTTCACAATATCCTATTCTAAAGAAAATGCTGTATCCAAAAGAAAGCGAATTGATTTCATTGAGAATCAAATTAAAATATTGGAAAATAAACTCTACTCGCAGATAAATATGAGATATAAAAGACAGCTTGAAAATGAAATTGATGAATTATTTGCACAAAAATGTAAAGGGGCTTACATAAGATCAAGAGCTATCTGGATGGAAAAGGGCGAAAAAAGTACTGCATATTTCATAAATTTAGAAAAAAAGCAACAGGGCGACAAAACGATTTAAAAAATTACTAATGACGACGATATTGTCTTTATGGAAAATGGAGATATTATGAAAGCTTTAGTCGATTTTTATAATGCATTATATGAGAGAAAAAAAAATCTGTGATCAAGATATTGATAAATACCTTGAAAATATTGAATGTCCTAAAATTAGTGAAAATGATAGAAATAATTGCGATAAATTACCAACCATGTCTGAGTGAAAGGAAGCCATTCATCATATGAAAAATAACAAATCTACTGGTTCTGATGGATTTCCAGCAGAATTTTATAAAATAGTTTTGTAATGATATTAAAGATATATATTTCTCATGTTTAATCAAAAGTATTGAGATCGGAATTCTACTATTCTCACAACGAGACGCAATACTCTCCCTTATTTACAAGAAAGATGAAAAAAATAAATTAAAAAATTACAGACCTATAAGTCTCACAAATGTGGATTATAAAAGTTTTGCACAGATTTAAGCTTTACGATTACAGCCTGTTGCTAAAAAAATCATAAGAAAAGAACAAAGTGCATATATCAAAGGAAGATATATTGGAGAAAATGCGAGACTGATACTTGATATATACGAGCACTGTATGAATCACGATCTTGATGGCATATTGTTATTCTTAGATTTCGAAAAAAAGCATTTGACGCTGGTCCGAAACTTAATTTATCTAAAACTGAATGTATCTTAACTGGTTCCTTAATTGATGAGTATTGCAATAATAACGATCTATACGGTGTAAAAATTGCAACTAAAAGTGTTAAATCTCTTGGAATATATTTAGGTCATAATAAAGACGTGTGTTATGAAAAAAAACTGGTAAAAAAAAGTAAACTTGAAAAACTTGAAAAAATCTTAAGTGTTTGGCGAAAACGCAACTTAACAATATTTGGAAAATGTACAATAATAAATACTTTAGCGGTATCAAAGCTTGTTTATAATGCGTTTATATTACCTAATCCAGATAAAGAATTCTTTAAAAGAGTTTCAAAAATAATTTTTAATTTTCTGTGGAAAAAAAGAGAGAGAATTAAACGAAATACATTGATTGGTAAAATTGAACAAGGAGGAATAGGAATCGTTGATATTGAAAGTAAATTTTCTGCCGCGAAAGCTTCGTGGGTAAGAAGAATATTGGATAAAGATACAATCACACACTTTACTTTAAACAGTCTATTGGAAAATACACTGCGTGAAAATTTGGCTTTACAAAACAAGTAAAGATAATGTAAATTTATTATTTACAATGCCTTTAATTGGCTTTTCTGAAAAAAGTCAAAGTTGGAAAAGGTAACCTTTACATTAACTTTACATGCACTTAAATATGATGCAATGTCCCACTTTATCTTGACTTTACAAAAAAGTAAACTTAATATTTACAACCATTAAAAACAGTATTTAGTATAATTTATATTAAATCTGATAATTACAGACCTTAAATTTAATTAAATACCATCTTTAATAACCACAATCTGATAATTACAAGCCTTAAATTTAATTAAATACCACCTTTAATAACCACAAAAGTTAATAATTTCCGTTTTCCATTCCAGTGAATGAAGTCTTATTCAAATTATAAATAAGTTTTTTCTTCCAAATTGATAAGTTGCGGAAATGTAAACATCATAATTAATATACAAATTAACAAAAAGCTGACTTTAACTTTGTTTATTACAATACAAAGCATTTTTTTTACAAACATAAGATCAAAATCATCAAGATTCTTGGCAGTATATGTTGCCCACATCCTATCCTGCAAATTACATACATATCAAAGACAGAGTACATTTTTAGTATGTGACATGTTTTATAATAAAACCAACTGTACATTCTTGAATTTAAAGTTGTGAATCAACATAAAACTATGTCTTCTTTCTTGTGGATATTGGTTTTAGTGGAAATCAACAACTGTCAAAATGTTTTTGTCACACCTCCCTTTTCAGAGTTCAAAACTTTTCTCCCCATGCAGGCATTTTCCTAATGCTTTTCCTAAAAGAAAAAAAAGTATTTTTTTCAGTGCCATGCATAAGTATGAATATTTTCAAAGGCTTCTGTGTTATCAGAATTCACAATACCATGATTAATAAAAATAAAAACAAGGCACAACCTCATTAATGAATAAAAAGTTTATACATGACCATTAACCTCAAAAAGCAAAAAAATGTAAATTTATCAATTTAAAGCAATATGAGCTGCATGTTTGATATCGGAAAATTTTATTGCAAATTTGTAATTAACTAATTTAATGATAGAAAAATAAATCATTTATAAACTTCTTTTGTTCATATTTGCGATAGAAATTTTTTTATTAGCTTTGATTGAAGCAAAATTGAATTATTGTCGTCCTGTACAATAATGATTTCTTATATTAAATTGTATATTCGGTTGTACAGAAATATTTATTCTGAAACATTTCAAAACTTTATTTTGGGTTTACTAGTCATAAGGGTTTAAATTACATAAAAATTAATCATAATAGCACATTTTTCTAGCAAAATAAAAATCTCAAAGATACAGCTCATATTGCTTTGATAAGATGAGTGGAACTCTTGTTGTTGACATATTATATGAAGAATCAATGGGTTAGGTCATGTATCCCTTATCACAAAAAGCCTATAAATTACAATTTGAGAAATATGTACTTTTTAAGGGTACTATACAGAAACAAAGAATAAATCCCTGAAATATTGAGAAATCATAGGTTTCCTGACTACTCAGTTGTCAGTTTACAAAGAGAACAATATAGTGCTACATACCCGGGGTATTTAGTTTAGCTGTACATGTATACAGAATGATACTCAAGTTATGGTTTAGGACATATGTACCTTTTTCCCCAATCGCATGTTTCAACTCATGAACTTTTTCCTGATATGGAACCGTAAAAGGACTTTAGGTGAGAGTCGCTCAAATTGAAGATGACAATCATGCTGAAATAGAATTCATACCGTGATTAAAATTTTATACATATGGACAAATATAGTCAATATTTTTATAAAAAATTATGAGTTTGAAGCAAACCGCTGCACTTGGTCACCAAAGAATGAATTGATGTTGAAAATTAATACACAATGCAATCACAAATAATAGCTATGAATTGATAAACACCCTTATGTTATTTTTTATCAAGAATAATCTAAAATTAGTTCTAAACAATACTTGCCATTTATAATACGAAAGGTGAGAACCCGCCTCTTCTTCATGACAGATCTTTTAATTTTCTCATGGTAGGCTGAGTAGCTTGAGACTATAAAATGAAATTGAACATTTTTAAAAAAAAATATATAACGATATTGACTCCCGAGCAAGTCAAGCACTAAATAATGTAAATGTTTGTTCAAGTAACAGATTTCATGAAATTTATTATTAAAATGTGCTTGTACCAAAGAACACTGGGATCCTCAATCTGGGTAATCATGTTTTGTTGTCTTCCTCGCCCCCTCTTGATGTTTTCTCTTCAACAATCTGCATACTGAATTCACTATACCTGTGTTTTAAGAAAATGGACACAGTTTAAAATACAAAATGATAAAAATAAATAAACTCTCAAAGTTGAGAGTTTATGTATATGGGTGTAGTACTTTTTTTTAAAACATTATTTTTCTTGCCTGATCAGAATCTTTATTAAAGCAACTTTTAGAGTGTATTTAATATAGATACAAATTTAAAAAAATTTTTACATAATTTATCAATCCGGAAGACAAACCCCTATGATTCATACACCTTTACAGAATAAAATAACGCTATAAACATTTAATCCCCAAATTATCAAAAATACTTATCTAATATCCTAGCAGAAAATAACATACAAAGCGTCGTTTTGTGTGACTTTGATTAGTTTCATTCTTTCACAACATGCACAATGTACTGATCTGAAAGTGAGAGTGAAAACGGCTGGAAATCGTAAACAAACCTTTAGAGCATGCCAACCCGGGAGTTCGAGCAGTTGTCAAGGCAAGAATCTTCTTAAATCTAGATGAAGTGTCAAAAAATTATCACTGGTTTCAAACTTCGTCAAAATAACGATGCAGACCCGCTCAACTTGATTTGAAATGATTGGCTATTCAACCGAATACACAGTGCCATATTTGGGTTACTGTTCAGAGTAGATCGTTCGTTTTACATTCGAGAAGAGTTTACATATTACTTGAATGAAAAGGATAACATAATACTGAGCTGAAAATTGTGTGTAAAGTATGTTTTCAGTGTAGTTTACAATACAGGCTGTAAATGTGCTGGAGATTTTATTGATGTTGAAGCTTGTAAACAAAACCAATAAACGTAGGACTTACTCACGGCAATGTATGGGAACCAGAGCAGGGAACCAGTCTAGAAGGCAAAGAAAATTCCGCCAAGTAAACAACAAAGAAAGGGATTTGGGATGTTGTCAGTTGTAGACATTATGTGGGCCGGTGACTGCAAGGTAATACATGTTTCTTATTTGTTGCGAATAATTCTTTTCATTTTATTATGGAAATTTATCCGTCCCAACACTGGCAGAAATATAATTAATCTGACTTCAAAATTCCTTCCTCTGTTCCCCCAAGTACATGTAACACTCTTCGCTCTCATTTTTTTTTTCAATTTTCATTGTATATTTTTTGTAGAAGCAAGGAATGTGGAGCTAATGCATATTGCTAAGGATGGAAAGGTCTTGTGTTTGTTGGTTGTGCCTGAGACACCAGTCACAGTTGTACCTTATTTCCATTTTAGGTAATGTCTTTTGATTTTTTTTAAGTAGAGGGAACAATGCATTTTTCATTCAATATATATGTAAAATTCTAGAGATAACTTTTTTTTAACATTGTTGGATACTCACTACATGATTTTATCTAAAGAAAAGTATTTAAATTATTTCCTCACATTTTCTAAAGAGGCCAGGTATGGTGAAGAGATAATTCATTTTTTATTCAAAATCTTATTTTCCATGCATTTGTACAGGGAGTCTATATACACTTGAGAGGTGAGCGTCAGATTTAAATTTGAAGATGGATGACTTTCAGATGTTATGATGAAGATTGTTGAAAGAGATTATCAACATAGAATCAATCCATATGAATGTGCAAGTCAGGTGAGGATTGGACTTCAACGTTTAATCAAGAGATGTTTAAATATTGCTAAGCTTAATGAAAGCACACCACAAACATTTTAAGTATCTCAGTAAGTTTCATGAATATTACAGATGTATCACTATGATATCATATGTTTGACATTGAGTCGCTTTGTCTAAATTTCCATTATGTTTAGTTATACATGTTTTAAGTTACTTAAGTATGTCTTCATAAGCTTGTGCTTTAATTTCAATAGAAGTAATGAAAACCTATTTAAAAATTGTATTGTTTTTCTTAATAATTCTGAAAATGATTATTATTAGGACTTGTACAACACCTGAGTACCCAGATGACTGTTGAACTAATTGGTGAACAAGAAAAGATGTCAGAGACGGGAATCCAATACAGATGTCATGATCAAGAAAATGTACTGTTATCAATGATATGATCAAGAATTTGTAAACTTGTAGCGATTTAGAATATCTTATCTGTAATATCTTCAATACTTAATTGTTCACACATTATCATCTTATCTGTATATTATTCGCCCCCTCTTATATAACCCCCTGCTGATTGTAATGACCTGTGTATTGATTCCTGATCTTAAGGATCTTATAATGTGCTCCTGATCGTCAGGAGCGGATCTTGAGTATATATATAGTGCAACAGAATTTTAGAATAAGATGGGAAGTTGGAAATATAGAAGACTTAGTAGATAGAACTGTTAGAGATAGATAAAGTTACTTACTTACTTGGAATATTACCTAATATTTCTTGAATTTATATGTACATGTGATTATTTTACTGGGATTTTATTTTTAGTGAATTATATTTCCCGATTGTTTCTATTTGTGATGTGCTGTGTAAATAAACTGTAGACTAGAATTTCGGCATCTATTTTCAAGATATGAGAAACAAGGATAAATTGATTTATTCATGCAAACTGACATTATGAAATGTGTTGTAAGACCGCCCGGTGCGGAGCTACAAACTAACTAGGAAACATCTTGGAGATTTATAGATGAACATGCAAGCATTCATGGTTTTGAATGTTATTCACCCAGAGAGTTTTTGCACAAATTTAATTTTCAGTACAGTTATGTAAAATGAATATGTTACTTATTATGATTGTCAGTTTCTCAACAGGACATAATTGTAGTTTATTTATATGCAGATTTGCAGAACAAAACACACAGAGCTTTTTTTCTTTTTGTGCATCATACACTTGTAAACGTTTTACACCACCATGGTTACATATTTTACATTTATGACATGTAAATCGAGCACACACATGAAAATGCTTGAAGCTGGTTACATATGCAAACATGCATCTACCATAACCTATTACATATTTTCCAAGGTGTGTGAAGTCGAGCACATACATGAAAATGTGTGAAGCTGGACACATACACAAATACACATGCATCTGCCACAACCTATTACATATTTTCCAAGGCGTGTGAAGTCGAGCACATACATGAAAATGTGTGAAGCTGGACACATATGCAAACACACTAACATTTACCACAGACATAAAAACATAATCTAAACTAAATCAAGCACAGACAGGCTCACGGGGTGAAGCTGGACTCGTACATGATCTCATGCATTTTGCAAACTGCATCCCCGCATCTATTCTATTAGATTTTTCACCATATTTTGTGTTTGTGAATATGTAAAATGCATCATTTTGCATTACAAGTTGAAGATGTTATTAGCCTGTATATAAGCGCAAATCAAATAGCCTTTTATGTAATTTTTTCCACATTTTTAATTCAATTTAAACTGCAAAGTTTATTTTATATATGTACATGCACCATAAAGAATAAATAATGTACCGGTATTATATTTTAAAGTGAAATGGGACCTCCATTTCAAAAGCAAAAATATGAAATTTATACCTGTCATCTGTATTTTTTTTCTCACATGTATCTGAATGTTTAAAGGAAAACAAAAGTCAAAGATAGCTCAATATAATGTTTATATTCAAGATTATAATTGGATATTGTTTGTGCTGTATATCTGACTCATCATATGATGAGAAGCCAAAATACAGAATATTTTAGATCATTTTTGTTTGAAAAATGAAAAATATCAATATGCCAATTTTTCCCATTGTTATATTATTAATTACTCTATCATTAATATCAGTGTACATATTAAAGATCTATGCCATCCAATTGAGAGAGTTGTAGGCAATCCTGGTGCAGATAATATTTTTTTCCTGTGTTTCGCAGTATAGCGGGAACACATTGTATGCTAGGAATGTTTATTAATGGTTTTGGTTGTATATGTGGGCATGGCCAAAGGAAAGCCAATGAGAAATGAGTATTCAGTAATATGTTCATATCATTCTAAGCCAGTGCTCTTCAATACACACACTTTTTTTTTGCTTTATATATATCATATTTGTATAAATATACTGGTAATTGAAATAACAAAACTGTTGAAATGTATTTTAATTTGGATTTTTTCATACATGGAAATATTATAGGATGTTCGTGAATTTTTAACTATTGCACCGAATGCACGTCCGGCATTCTCCTTTGAGACATTATTTACATAGCGACGGACAGGTTTTCCATAGTTAACCATCTATGGTTTTTGCCTGGGCGGTTTTTAATGTCAGTGATAGGGATACAATTTATTACATGTAAAATATTTTACAAATGCATTGCAGTGCTTTATTGTTTCACATTCAATGTAATGTGTGTTAAATATTTATGTATTGTTATATCAAAATAAACGCCAGCTGCTCCAACTAAGCTAACCTGGCTTACAGCATAGGTGTTGTATTATTTGAGGCGTAGTCTGTCAAATAATGATGAGTTGAGTGTCTGAATCTGTAGATGACCATTTCTAATACTAATTTCAACTGGAAATGGATACAAGATAATTAAAAAAATATTTGACATTTGTCTTAAAATTCTGGGTACTGACTATATTAGATTCTTTAAACTAACTGTGAAAATCCAAAGAATAAGTGTATTAAACAATAGTCAGCATTTAAATAAGACTTTTATAAAATATGTATATTTAATGAACTTTAATATGGCATTAAAGATGAAAGGTTATATTTAATTATCTTTTCGTGTAAGTAAAGGTCACCTTTTCACCTTTACTTTTTGTAAAGTTAATACAAAGATGACCTTGCTTTTTGGAGCACCTTTAATGAAATTTACTTCGCAAGTAAAGTTTTGTAAAGGTGTTTTTTTCAAGCAGTGATAGTAAGAAGAAGAGTCGTTATGGTTTATAATCGGCCCTGTGATTGAATCTGATGAGGGATTTATCAAAAGGTGTCTACAATGCATATTTTCCTAAACAGTTTAAATTTTTCCAATACCACTTTTACTTTTTCGTCAGGAGCCTCTTAAAAATGACATGATATTCAGCAAAAGTCTTGCTTGACGGCATGACGTCGCGATCTAAAATTAACGACGTCGCGATCTAAAATTAACGACGTCGCGCACGATATTGGTGTTTCTTCGCATTGGAGCATCCATTTGTAATGTTTTACAGAGATGGTTTTGCTAGAAGATATCAAGTATTATATATCAATGGCAAGGAAAATATATGAATAATGACGATATCATACTTACAATATATTATAGACGTTAAATAGTTCGTGAAGATATAGCTAGATATACGGCGATGTCGTCATTTTTATGATGTCCCAGCGTTACATAAAATGTCCATGCGCTTTATTAAAAAGTTGTTCAAATGATAAATCCTATGTCTATTACCATAAAAATTGGTATATGATAGTATAAATTGTATCCAAAAAGGATGTCAAAAGTAATTAAAATTATCAGAGGACAAAAATGATATTTCGGCACTGGAAGTGTCGAAGACCTAGGTCCGTTATCAATTTTTTATCGGCAACTTTCAATATTGATTTTTCAAAAATGTTAATTTTCTAATATGTAAAGCATTTTCTATATTTCTTTTCTTGTTTGTGTTAACCAACTAACCGAATTTTTTTATTTCCTGAACTTTTAAAATACAGTGTAGCGATTTTGAATTTTTTTTACGATACATATTAAGTCTTTGCTAAAACGTAAATTGCATAAAGTCTTTTGAAGAGAATATCTATGAACTAAGAGTTTATTTTCTTGAATTATATAAATAAATAAAAATTCTGCATAACAATAACAAACACAAAATATATTTTTAAAATACATATGCAGTTTTAATTAACACGAAATAATTTTATCTTTAAAAAATTAAAAACATTTCAATATAAAATACTGAGTTACAATTTCACGAAGTAAATTAAGATCCGTACACTGAGATTCGTAAACAATACCAAAAACATTCCAGTAAAGCAAAAACAATCACATTTTCTCAAGTCTCTCCAGAAGGCTCGGACACATGGTTATATAACACATTAAATATACTTTTTTAAATATTAAATACTCGTAGTTCGATTCATATCTTTCAAATATATCCCAGATATAAGATTGGAAAGAATTTGTAATCAACGTACCAAGCGAATTAAAGCGATTGTATAATGATTTGTACATATAATATTCATTGTAGGATTTTTGTAAGTGAATACACTCTCGGAATATGTATACTATATTTTCATTGTCGTAAAGTTAGACCGGAGATGTTGCCACATACATGTAGTATAGATATTCAAATTTTATTGTAAATATCTATGATTTGAACAATTAAAAGTCTCCGGAATCATAATCTTCATTAACGTCGCTGTCAGAGTCGTTTACAACTTCTTGAGAGGCATCGCATACAGAGTTTTCCCAGTTCTGCACCCTGTTCTAGGAACATCCTCGTGTCGCAAAAATATACACTCGTGACATGCGCACACATACCAACTACCTTGCTGCCGTTGGTGAGATGAAGAAAACTAACATCCATTCGGGTGTCAAAATATTCCCGAGAGAATTCAGCCCAAACACAACCCCCTCCCCGGGGGCCATATTGTAACCGTATAAGCAGATTTTTTAGCTTTGATTTCATTTTAGAATTATTAGCGAGAGTGCTGAGATCGCTAAAATTACATAAAATATAATATAAAATACCAGTTTTTAAGGAAGAATCGCTAAATTTGCCTCTCGCTAAAATTTCCACTAATACGGTATATAACGCCGCTTAATAATACAAATATCATTTAGCATTGCTATGAAACGCTTTATGTCTCAAATCAGTGCATTAATAGTGAACATGCTAATCTGCTTAATGACATAATTCTTTCATTAATCGGTGATTTACCATTAGCGATTGCTACAGCCCTTTTCCATCTCAAAGCACCCCTTATATATCAAACTTATAAATCTTTGAATTATATCTTTGTCACTCAAAAGTATATTCAACTGCAGGTATAGCATCATGGTAAGTTAACGGAAGTTCCCCCCCCCAGTAGTATGTGTGAATAAAAAATTATACCCCCCCCCCCCCCCAACGAGAAAGGATTTTTCGAGTTTGAAAATTTTATCCTTTTTTTTTCTTTTATCTTTTCTTTTTACTTTTCAAAATTATTGAGGTAAGTTCATTTTTTTTCTCTGGCTGCTCCTCC